CTCTTCTTATTGAGCTCCTATGAAACTTGCTCCCTGGGTATTTGGCTTATCCTAATTTCCTCACCATTATTGATAATAATAGAATCTTCTTTATAAGACTCATGTTTTTGGGCTAGCAATGTAGCTTAGTGGTAGAACACTTACCTAGCATGCACACAGCCCTGGGTTCAGTCCCTAGCGCATTGAAGAGAATGAACAGTTTATAGGTTTTTGTTTGTGTGCATGTCTGTGTTACTGGGATTTGAACCTAGGGTCCCACACTTGCTAGGCAGGTGCCCTATCACTTGAGCCACAACTTCAGCCTCATTTTATAGTATTTATTGCATAGTTCAAGACTTTTCCTAAAACAAAGAACCAGTTTAAAATATATTTAACAAGTTCTTAATGTATCTGTGTCCTCAGAGCCCCATCAACAAGGTCAGTTTATTTTGGGCCATTTAATTCATTTATCTATTAAAAGTGTAGGTACCTGAGAGTTCAACGTTCTGTTTTCCATTGCTAGTAAGCCTGGATGCTACTACATATTTTGACTGACTTTTTGCATTTTCTGTGTGTAAAATGAAGTTTCTCTTTTGAGTAAACTGATTAAATAGAATCTACATATTGACCTTATCTGATAATATTGTAGTCGCAAATATTTTTTCCCACTACTATCTGTTTTGTTAAACTTTTTATTCTGATGTATTCATCACCTCCTTCTGTGAGTAGATGTAAATTTTCTCCCTTTCATAACTTGAGTAATTATCTTCTGTTTCCTGCTACTCTTGGTTTGTGTTTAATGATTTGACCTGTGTATTAATCTAGTGGTTCTCTGTTGTTCTTTCTCATTTGTCATAGAATTTTTAATTGTTTACATTTATGTCTGGAGCCTTAAATGTAGTACTTTTTGATGTTTTTCTTCTAACATAAATTTTGGCTCTTTGTTGCTTTGTAATATATTTTTAAAATCTGATAGGAAAAGCTTACTGTTATTACATCAAGATACATATATGTGATATTTTTTGCTTTATTTATTTTTTTTCTTTACTCATTTATTCACATGTGTATATATTGTTTGGGCCATTTCTCCCCCCATCCCAACCCCCACCCCTACCCTCTCCCCCACCACTGCCCTTGCTTCCAGGCAAAACCTGTTCTGCCCTTTTCTCCAGTTTTGTTGAAGAGTAGACATAAGCAATAATAAGAAAGACAAAGTGTTTTTGCTATTTGAGATAAGGACAGCTATACAGAGATTCCTAGCATTGCTTCCATGCACAAGTGTGTTACAACCTGAATTGATTCATCTCTACCAGCCCTCTTCACTATTTCCTGGTCACCTTCCCATAGTGACCTCTGTCGCTTTAAGGTTTCCGTATTAGCTCCTCTGCAGTGGAGATATCAGACACTTTGAAGTTTTGCATTTCCTACCTGTCCCCATTCCTCCAGTATGTGTGCTCCCCTTAGCTTGTGACCCAAGTCCCACAACATTGCTGCATTTGCCCTAGACATGTATTTGATATTTCTGCCTTGTGATTTTTCTAGATGAATTCTGATCTCAATTTCTCAAGTTCTAAGAAACATTGTACAGAAATTTTTAATTGTATTAAAGCCTTTATTTTCTTGGGAAGTATCTTTAGTCATCTCAGCCAGGAATATCTATTCCTTTCCCGTTATTCATATTTTCTTTTTTCATTCTATGTTAGACATTTATATTTTCTCTCCTTTTTGTGATACTGGGGATCGAACTCAGAACTTCATGCTTTTAAATAAATCAGTAATAAGTAAGTAAATAAATAAATAAATCAGTGATATCGGGTAATTTGCCTAACAAATTTTAAACATTTTGTTCCTTTTGTAAGTTTCCTGTGTCTTTACTAACATTTCCACATGAATGATCCTAAGAATGAAGCTGATTTTTTTCCTTTTTATGGCCCATAGCTTTTCCTAGTTCATTTATTACCACCAGTGTTTTGTCATTGATGATTTCTAGGATTTTTATCTTTTCCTGTCTCATCTATTAATTTCTTTTCCTCAGTGTTAGTTGTTAGCCTTTCCAGCCTCCTAGCTTGTGGAAGGAGAGACTGAGAAGCCTTTCAATATAATCATTGAAAAAGAACTGACGTTAGTAATTCACCAAGTATAATGCTAGTGTTTTATAATTTTATAATAAGTTATTTTAAAGTAATAAGTAATTGCTATCACTTATAGTCAGGTTTTTTATAACAAATATTTTGTTTAAGTCAAAAAAGCTGTCACTTTCTCCTTGTAACATTTCAAATTTTTATGTACTTCTGAATAATCCTTATCCTAGTCACAAGAGACATTTTTCTCCCTAAAACGTGTTTCAGTCTCAACAGTTTCTGATTGTAGTAGTTTGACTCCCTGTCCTGCTAAGTATATTCTGTGGTAATGTGTAGTGCTTGTCATTACACCACAGCACACAACAAGTACAAAGCTTCCATTCGTTTGATGGGGCTCCATAATGCTTTTCCTTCACTAGGAATCACTGATTTCTAGTAATAAGGAACAGCTCCAATGAAAGTGCTAAAAGGAGCGACTCCCAGATCCCAGGTTTTGGTGCTACTTCAGGTTTTCCCTTTTAGGATCTGGACATTTATTTTTCTCCCTAGATACTAGTTTTTAGAGGGGGAGCTGGACTAGGGATTTAACCAAGGCCTGGAGCATGCTAAGCATGAACTCTGCTACTGAGCTACACCCCTAGCCTGATACTAAATCATTTTTAAATTTTAGTCATTTATTTTCACTGTACTGGGGATTAAACCTTGGACCTAGTGCTTGTTGGCAAGTGCTCTACCATTTGAGCACTCAGTCCTTTCGTTTTTGAGACAGAGTCTCACTAACTTTGCTCAAGTTGGCATCGAACTCTCCATTTCCTGCCTCTACCTTCCTATTTTTATGTATGTATGTATTTATTTAACTTGTATTTTGGTGCCAAGGATCAACACTGGTGTTTTTTCTTTGTTTGGGACTGAACCCGAGGCAAAATGCTCCACTATGAACACATGCCTAACTCTTGACACTGGTCTTAAAAGCTGGGGAGAGTTGACATTCCTGTTTGGGAGTGCAAAAGGCACTGTCATCCTATGAGTGTGTTTTTATGGGGATTTCTCCTTCTCTCTCTTTTTTTTTTTTAATTTTAAAACGATTGTAGATTCATAGGAAGTTGCAAAAATAGTACTAAGAGGCCCTATGAACCCTTTACCCATTTTCTACCAGTAATAACATCTTGTTGGAGTTTCCACTTGTGATGCTTCCAAGGACAGCTTTGATTTTTTTAGCATGTCCTCAGCCCATGGTGCACAATAATATCTCCAGCTAGGAGAGAGAATTATATGATGAACCTTTTTTATTTTATTTCATGTTTTTGGTGGTACCAGGGTTTGAACTCAGGGTACTTGCTAGGCAGGTGCTTTACCACTTGAGCCATGCCCCCAGCCCTTTTTCTTTTAGCTATTTATTCTGATAAGGTCTGAGGTTTTTGCTCAGGGCTGGCCTGGACCTTGATCCTCCTACTTCTGCCTCCTGAAGAGCTGGAATTTTCGGCACATGGCACCATGCCCAGCTAATTGGTTGAGATGGGGAGTTCTTGGTAACTTTTTTGACCAGGCTGTTCTTCACCTCTCAAATGGCTAGTTTTACAGATGTGAACCACTGTGCCCATCATGATAACTAGGTCCTCGTTCTTGTTTCGCCATTACCATTTTGACCTGAGCAAGGTACTTAAGCCAGTTCAGCCTTGGCAAGGTAAGGGATTCAGTCCCACACTCTTCAAATTTTTATATGATTGGTTAGCTGAAAGTACAGCTGTTTGAAAGAAATGTCTAACTTTGCTGAGCAGTGTAGCCTTATTTTCCTCCTCACCTTAGATAGAACAAACTGAAAAGAGGGAAAACAGAAACTTTGGACTCATTCCTTAGATAATTAAATAGAATAAAAGCAATATAGAGTTGATTAATTGGGAGCTAGAAGTTAATCAGAATGCCAATGACATGTAAAACACAAAGGCATATAGAACTTTTTCATAACCTTCAAAATAAATTCACACAAAAGCCTAAATACCTACAGTTTATTAACATTTTCTTCTTTTGAAACAAGTCTTGCTATAGTCCAGGCTAGCCTCCTGTTTTCTATGTGGGTCAGGCTGGCCTTGAATTCTCTATCCTCCTGCCTCAGCCTCCCAAGTGCTGGGATTACAGGTGTATGTCACCACAAATAGCTGATACCTGCGAATTTTAGGTGGAGAATAATGACCCCAGATTTAAGACTAAAACCAAGGTATTTATTATCATTAGTGATACTTCCTATATAATTGTAATGGAGAGCTTGTTATGCGCAAATCTGTAATTTTTAATTATTATTTTTTCATTAGAAATTGCATGTCTTTTTGAATTCTGAAATTATTGGGATGAAGAGCACTGTCAGTTTTTGTATTAATTTGTTTCAGTAAAGCATGGTCGAATATTTGACATGATGAATCTGAATGAAACGATCAGTTATGGAAGGAATATGAATGCTTTGTAGGCAAACGAAAATATCTCAGCCTAGAAGCATTACTGAAATTGCATCTAGGAAAATCCTTATACCAGGGGATTGTATTGTCACTCTCAGAGAACTGCTGTGTTCTCCTGTCTCCATTCCATCCAAGTAAACCACAGACATTTCCATTCCATTCAGTCTTTTCAAATTTTTCATTTCCTTTGACTTATTTGCCAGGCGGAAGTCCTGCCTTGCTTGTATACATCAATTTCTGCTGCATGGGCTTTGGGATGTGTAGCTGGTTCCTGCCACAATCTTTACCAACTTAAGACAGATGAAAATTGCTGAGAGTTATAAAGTAATACAGAAAGGGGCAGTGCTCCCATCCATGATGAAGTGCGCATGACTGATTCATACTTACAGAGGTTTTTTTTCTCCTTCCCTGCTCTAACTGTTCAAATTGCTGATTCTCTCACACCTGATGATGCTTCTCTCAAACGCCGGTCCTTGGTATCTCTTCGAAGCTTTGTGCACCGAGGGCGGCCTGAGCCTTTGGATCTTCACTTGGGCATGTTCCTGCCCACCTTACTTCACCAGGCCACCGCAGAACAGCAGGAGCGCTTCTTCATGCCAGCCTGGAATTTGGAGATCACTGGCACTTATGCACAGACAGAGATGGGTCATGGTACAGTGTATTCAGTCTACCTCCTGGGTGGGCGGGCCCCTGCCAGTTGGGCACATTTGGAGTGCCCGCCATGTGTTTGAATGAGCTCCTCCTGCAGAGTCCAGCTTTGAACATAGACACTGACTTGGTCAGTGGAAATTAAAGATTATGTTATGTTATCAGAGTGATTTGCTGGTTGTTTTTTTCATGGTTCCCCTTCAGAAGGTCAAGAATGATTAGTCAGGCCTTACCAAATGATTTTTCTTGTTCCCTCAAGTTGTATAGAATCTGCACATAGAATGTGAACCCATCAGTTTTGCAGCTATGTGCTGATACCCTACTGCACTTTTGCAAGTCTCAGAAGAAATACTCATTAATCATATGCGTGCTTTTTGACTTGTTCAAGGGAAATGAATAGCTTATTATAATCAAAATGTACAAAATTTTGTGCCTTGGAGTTATCACTACCTTGATTCAGTAAATTCAGAAAAGTTCTGAAAGTAGCTCTGCCAGAGGTTAGAAAGATTAAGATAAGCTGTACTTTCAGGCAGTAGTTTCAAATTCTATAGACTTTTCTTTTTCATAACCCTTACCTGCCTTTCTTCATGAACCTAGATGGGGCCGGAAGTGGTGGCTGTTCCTCTTATCATCTTGTTCTGAACTGGTGTCTCTGTTAGCCATTCATTTACTTCATTTTTTTCTGCTCTGAGGATTCAGAAAAACCAGTGTATATTCGCCCCTTGCTCTTTAATTCTGCACAACTGCCTTTCCTTATTCAGTGCTGAGTAGTATTTTGCAGGATTTTCACCAGTGTCATGTGGAATACTGTTCAGCTCAATGGTCCATCTGAAAACACTTTGTCTGTTTCTGCTCTGTAAATGTGCCATCTTTTTTTGCTCTGTAAAATCTTCTTTGGTTAAGGAATTTATTAAATGCCTGCTTTCTTGATGCCCCATCAGAAGGTGGATCACATAAATTGGCCATTTCTGTTACTCAATTTGGAGATTTCTAAATATTTCAAAGTGTTTGATGAAGTGTAGCATTATCAAAGTAGTTTGGTAAAGGCAGCTTTTTAAAGAATTTGGGGGCTGAGGCTCAAGCGGTAGAGTGCTTGCCTAACAAGCACAAAAGCCTGAATTCAAACTCCAGCACTTTCCATCCACCCCCACAAAAAAAAGGAATTTTGGCATATTTATACTAGAATTTAAGGCAGAAGTCCTGGTCTGTCTCCAGTAAACACAAAGCTGGGAAATCTTCTCTCATGAACCAGCAAGGATTAAATCAGAAATCTATAGAGTGAAAATAGGCATTATTACTGGACTTTCAGAAGAGTTTTTAAAAATCCCTTTTTCTTCCTCCTAATGAATATACCTTTTTAAATTCTTATTTTCCACTCTCACAATCATTCTGAAATAACTTCTCAATTTGCAAAAACTTTAGCTAAAGTCTTTTCCTGTTATATACTATCTTACTTTTCTAAGTGGTACACTCCAGGATGTTGAATTGATGTGTGAACACAGTACACATGAGTTGAAATTGGCACACATGAAACTTAGAGATGGGTTTAAAAGGATAGTAAACGTCTGTTAGATTCATACTTGTGATCTAAGGAAAGCACTATTTTAAGCTACCTTTTCATTTTCTTTTCATTGATCTAAATAGATGTTACAATCCACTGAATCAAGTATGGAAATGGAATATACATGACACTTATGTTTTTACCTATTGGGAACTGACCGGTAGTATAGGAAGTTGAGCATCTTGGTTACCAGCCATTTGTTGTCATCTACAAATGTGTTGCTGTTAGATTGTCTTTTCCTCTAAAATACTAGAGTTTAAAGAATCGGGCAGGAAATTTTACCCTGCATCTATTTTTTCTCTATGTTTTTTCTGAAGTGAATGTAATTTATTTCCTTAGGAACTCATCTTCGAGGCTTGGAAACCACTGCCACGTATGACCCCAAAACCCAAGAGTTCATTCTCAACAGTCCTACAGTGACCTCCATTAAGTGGTGGCCTGGTGGGCGTAAGTGAAGTTTTGACATTTGATGCTTTGGCATTTGTGTGTTTTGAAGATTAATTATGAATTTTTATTTACAATGTAGAGTTTATGTGAGAATATCATTTTGAAATACAGAGAAAAACCCTAAGTCTTAAACTATGCTATTTCACATTTTCTTGTGGCTCATGTTACACATATTTATATATTATAAAGGCATAGAAATTATGGATATCTTAAACTGCTTTTAATTTTTCAATCTAAAGTTTCCCAAATATTACCAGTTTTCCTAATCATCATTTAAAATATTAATATTCTCCTATTTGTCACTTTTTTTTTTTTTGAGGGAGGTGCTAGGGGCAAACCCAAGCCTCATGCTGGCTAGGCAGACCCTATACCACTGAACTACATCTCCAGTCCCTGTTTGTCATTTCTATCTTGCCAAATACTCATGTTGTTTTGATATTTTTATTTTAAATAAATTTGACATGAGATTTTTATTTAGTATCTTTTTTTCATTGCTTCTCGGCCTTTTGGCTAAGATCAAGTGCAGTATCTTCTTTCCAAGTTACTGTCTTGGAATATGAATTGAAGGTGTAGTTAGTATATTCTGTGTATATATACATATGTATGTATACACACACACCTGTACTTTTTTTTTTTTTTTTTTTTTTTGGTATGGGGTTTAAACTCATGCTCTATCACGTGAGCCACACATCCAGCCCCTCACAATATATATTTTTAATGTCTAAACATACACATTTTATTTTTTAAAAAGCCTAACATACAAAAGATAAAGATATCTGGATGTACTAACTAAAAGCCATCCTGATCCAGAGGACTTACTGTAATGATGGAAATATTCTCTGACTTTGCCTTTTAATATGTCAGCTTGTCAGTAACTTGGAGTTACTGGGTATTTGAAATATTGGTGGTTGACTGAGGAACTGTACTTAATTATATTTAATTTAAGTACAAGTAGCTACATGTGGCTATTGGCTACAATTTTGGACAGCATGGCCAGAAAGAAGAAAAAGCAATTAAAATTAACGTTCTTTATATAAATGTATGAGAAAACAGTAGAACAGATAATACAGTTGTCTTTTTTTTTTGGTATTCATTTGTTTTGAGACAGGGTCTCATGATGTAACCCAAGCTGTCCTGCCTCAGGGCTGCATGCTCCCCCCACCAATCTTGGATTACAGGCTGTCTTTTTAAAAATGAAGGACTGCTTTGCTGAAATTCAATAAATTTTAATAATTATGAGCTTATGTGACTTTTTTTCCAGAACTTAGGTAGAAGACTTCTCCACAAGTAGGAAAGGCTTTCTGGACATACTGTATTGCTCTGGCTCATGCTGTCTTTTTGCTTTATTTTTGTTTTTTGAGACAAAGTGACTTTGAACTCTCCATGTAGCCCAGGCTGTCCTGAAACACATGATCCTATTACCTCAGCCACCCAAGTATTTGGGATTACAGGCGTGTGCCACCACACTCATGCTGTCTTGGATACACCTTTATCTAGTCTTCTGTTTCCACACTTTAAAAATGCAGCAACCTCTGCTCACTTCTCTTCTGTTCTCTTCAATGGTGCAGTTGGGAAGACTTCCAACCACGCGATCGTTCTTGCCCAGCTCTTCACTCAGGGGAAGTGCTATGGATTGCATGCCTTTATTGTTCCCATTCGTGAAATTGGGACCCACAAGCCCTTGCCAGGTAAGAATTGCTCATCTGCTGTTGAGGTAAAATTTAACTGAGCATTTTCCTCTCCAAAAAGTATAAGGCACAACTAAAGAAGAGGGAAGGCCAGGAATTCAGTAGCATAAAAGTCCCATGTCAGCCAGCAATCTAGCACATGCCTATAATTAGTCACTCTGGAGACTGAGGCAGGAGGATTACAAGTTCGATTCCAGACTGGGAAGCTTAGCAAGACTCTGTCTCAAAATAACATGAAAGGGCTGGGGGTATAACTCAGTGGTAGAGTATTTGCCTAGCATGTGTGAGGCACTCCATGGTACTCCATGGTAGTACTAACAAAAAAAAAGAAAAATCTCACGTCTTTGCTTTTATCTGTGGAAGGTATTACTGTTGGGGACATCGGCCCCAAATTTGGTTATGAAGAGATGGATAATGGCTACCTGAAGATGGACAACTATCGTATTCCCAGAGAAAACATGCTAATGAAGCATGCCCAGGTATATTTAGATAGAAAACAGGAGCAAGGGTACCCACAGTGGGGATGTGGTGACTGTTGATAATCATGGGGCTAGAAGAATCTGCCTTTAGAAGATGACAACATGTTTTACTTGTGGTGCTTTTTTTATGCTGATAGTGAAGTCAGAAGCAGTTGACTTGCTAATAAGCCCATGGTTCGCAACCTTTTACATGCCTTAGAGTCTCCTGGAAGGCCTATTAAAACCCTAATTGTCAAGCCATTCCTACTGATTCAGTAGGTCAGAGTAGAAAGTGAGAGTTTAGTATTTCAGACAATTTGGGTCCTGATGATGCTGTTGTTCCAGGTGAAGCCTGATGGCACATACGTGAAACCCCTGAATAATAAGCTGACCTACGGGACCATGGTGTTCGTCAGGTCCTTCCTCGTGGGAGAAGCAGCTCGGTGTCTGTCCAAGGCGTGCACCATTGCCATAAGATACAGTGCTGTGAGGCACCAGTCTGAAATCAAGCCAGGGTGAGGATGTGATCTAAGTTGGGCTCAATGCTGAAGTCAGTGATATTGACCCTATTCAATATTAGAATTCCCAAATATGGATAGAGAAGATGCATGGGCTTACACAATATTAGCTAGGGTGACGGTGAACTTCAGCCTGCTACTTAGTGTCTAGGATTCCTTCACTTAAGAAGAAAGATGGAAATAACCAGTTCACTCCCCTAGTACCCTCTGGTGCTGGATATCAAACCCAGTGCTTTGATCCTTCTGAGCAAAACGCTCTCCCACTGACCTACATTCCCATTCCTCCTTTACTATTTTTAATATAAGAAAAATAAAAGTAATACTAATCGAATTCTAAAAATGAATGAAGATAAATGAAATGTTTGAAACAGTTTAAAAAGTATACAGTAAGCCCACCTTATTCGTGGAATTATTATACATGGTTTTGACCAGCCCTATCAAAAATAAATATTCCTGTATGCATTATGCAGCTCAGTTGATGTGGAAAAGCTGTCAGTACTGTGTTATCATCAATTTTGTTTAAACTTTGTGCATCCTTGGTTGGTGGAGTGGCTCAAGTGGTAGAGTGCTTGCCTTACAAGTACAAAGCCCTGAGTTCAGAACCCAGTACCACCCAAAAAAAAAAATCTTCATGCATCCTGAACATTTCTGGTTTTTCTTCAAGGACCAGTCTCCTTGGAACCATATACCCATAGACACTAATGGTCTATTGTAATTACTATCAACTATAAATTATGTATGAAAAAATGGGCATTATGAAGGCCCGTAATCTCACCTCCTTGAGAGGCAGAGGCAAGAGGACTGTGAGTTTGAGGCCAGGCAGTTTGTAAGACCCTATCCCAAAAACAAAACAAAAATCAAAGGGGTTGGAGGTGGGTTAAGAAAGTGGCATTAAACTTAATTCCTGTAAAGAATAAAGAAATTGGGGCTAGTAGAGCACTTGCCTATCATCTGAGAGGCCCTGGGTTCGATCCCTAGCACTACCACAAAAAAAAAAAAAAAAAAAGGCCTGGCTTAGCAGTTATTTAGGAGTTCAACCCAGGTAAGTCGGTGAGACCTTATCTCAAAAACAGAAGGGCTGGGTGTGTGACTCAAGTGGTAGAGCACTTGCCTACCATGCATTAAGTCTTGGGTTCAATCCTCAGTACCAAAAAAAAAAGAAACTGATAAGAACAGACCTTCAGCCAGACCTCATGGTAGGAGGATAAAGCAGGAAGAGCATGAGTTTGAGGCCAGTCTGGGCTACATAGCAAGATCTTGTCTCCAAAAAAAACCAAAAAGTACTAGACCTCTTCATAGTATCAACTTCCTCTTGTGAGGTTAAATAGCTTTGTTTTTCTATGTTGCTATGAGATATGGTTTCCTTAGTCACACTGGAAAGACTAGGGCAGATAGGAATTTCACAGCTAGGAGATTCTGTGTACCTAAGGAAGTAGAATAAAGTGTTTAAGAGCATGGTCTTGGTGGACACTGTGGCTTACACCTATAATCCCTGCTACTTTAGAGGCAAAGATAGGAAGATCACAGTTTGAAGCTAGCTCAGGCAAAAAAGTTAGCATGACCATGTCTCAAAGAACAAGCCAGGCTGGGTGCTGGTGGTTCACATCTATAATCCTAGCTACTCAGGAGGCAGAGATCAGGAGGATCACAGTAAAAAGCAAATAGTTTGTGAGACTCTATCTCAGAAATACCTAATGCAAAAAAAAGGACTGGTAGAGTGACTTGGGTAATAGAGCGCCTGCCTAGCAAGTATGAGGCCCTGAGTTCAAACCTCAGGAACACCAAAAAAAAAAAGGAAAAGAAAAAGCCAGGCACAGTGATCGCAGCTGTGTGGAAGGCATATGTAGGAAGATTGAGGCCAACCTGGGCAAAAGGTCTGGAGGTGTGGCTCAAGTGATAGAATGCTTGCCTAGCAAGCCTAAGGCCATAAGTTCAATCCACAATACTGCTAAAAATAAAATAAAAATTAAAAATAAATTGAGGATCAGCTATTTATTAGATGTGTGACCTCAGATAGATTATTTTGTTTAATTTTTTCTTTGGTTTTTTGAGACAGGATCTTGTACTGTAGCCTAGGCCAGCCTCTAATTCTACTTTTTTTTTTTTTAGGTGGTACTGGGGGGTTTGATTTGAGCTCAGGGCCTCAGCTAGCTAGGCAGGTGCTCTTTACCCCTTTAGTCACTCCACCAGCCCTTTTTTGTGATGGGTTTTATCAAGATTGGGTCTCTCAAACTATTTGCCCAGGCTGGCCTTGAACCGCAATCCTCCTGATCTCTGTCTGCAGTGTAGCTAGGATTACAGTCATGGCACCACCATGCCTGGTTCAGACAGATCCTTTCCCCTCATTTGCCCCATTTGTAAAATGAGGGTATTAATAGCTATCTTATAGATTAAGCAAATTAATGTCACAGTGCTCAGACTAAAACCTGGTAGACAGCAAGTTCTATATCATTATTTACTGTTATTTTTTCCTTTTTCTATATAATTTAGTGAGCCAGAACCACAGATTTTGGACTTTCAAACCCAGCAGTATAAACTCTTTCCACTTCTGGCCACTGCCTATGCCTTCCAGTTCGTAGGCAAATACATGAAGGACACTTACCATCGGATTAATGAAGGCATAGGCCAAGGGGACCTGAGTGAACTACCTGAGGTATGTGTTTAGTCTCCACTTTGTGGGCACCCTTAACGTTTCATGTTTGCCTGTTGGGAAATGTCCAGAAGCAGTTACACATTGGGATGTCCTCAAAGTGTTACAGTTCTTAGAACTTTTTGTTGTTGAAAGTGGACAAGACGTAAGGATAAGACTTTTAGAGGTGACTGTTTGCCAGGTGACACAGTTCAGAAGGGGTATGGAAGCATTATTAATTCAAGCCAGTCGGGGGGCTGTTTTTTCAGTTGATGTGCACAGCGGCCGGATCTGGACCAGCGTCTTTAGAACTTTAGAGAAGGATGATGTTTTCTCACTGGAATGTGGACTCTGAGCATCACGGATGTTCTCACAGCCTGTGCTTGTCCCCTCAGCTTCATGCCCTCACTGCTGGGCTTAAGGCTTTCACCACCTGGACAGCAAATTCTGCTATCGAAGAGTGTCGGATGGCTTGCGGTGGGCATGGCTATTCCCATAGCAGTGGTATTCCAAATATTTATGTCACCTTCACCCCAGCCTGCACCTTCGAGGGAGAAAACACTGTCATGATGCTGCAGACAGCCAGGTGAGAATCAAATTCATTTCTCCTATTCGTTCAAGTCTTTTTCATAGGTTCCTGTGGCCATGCTTTCTGTTCACCACATGTATATTTGTCTTGAAAGGTCTGTAGTTTTGCTTTCATCCTGCTTTTATCTTGTGTCAGACAAGCAAATATGAAACACCTGTCACATGACACAGAGTCACTAAAAGCCACGTGTACTGGTAATTTTTAGGTTCTTGATGAAAAGCTATGACCAGGTGCAGTCAGGGAAGTTGTTGGATGGCACGGTGTCCTACTTGAATGACCTGCCCAGTCAGCGCATCCAGCCACAGCAGGTGGCAGTCTGGCCAACTGTGGTGGACATCAACAGCCCTGAGAGCCTGACTGAAGCGTACAAGCTTCGTGCATTCAGGTGAGCTCACCCAGCCCAAGGCCTCTGTTGGGGGCCTGAGAGATGAAAGCTTGGGAACTGTGAATCATTTCCTTAGATGCCCCCTTCTCCTTCATTTCTTAACAGATTAGTAGAAATTGCTGCAAAAAATCTTCAGGCTGAACTGAGTCACAGGAAAAGCAAGGAGGTAGCATGGAACCTAACTTCTGTTGACCTTGTTCGAGCAAGTGAGGTCAGTGGTAGTTATTTTCCTCTTCCCTCCTCCACCCTAGTGACTGGGTGTTTTCCATGGTTCTAACACTCCATTGTTTTCTTTATCTAGGCACATTGCCACTATGTCGTAGTAAAGCTTTTTTCGGAAAAACTACATGAAATTCAAGATAAATCCATTCAAGTTGTCTTAAGGAACTTATGTGTCTTATATTCTCTATATGGAATCAGTCAGAAGGCAGGAGATTTTCTTCAGGTCAGTATTTTCTAGATAGAAGTTTTTTTTTAAGAAAAATAATTGTCATCTATTTTGTGGTGTTTGTATGTATGAATATACATATTTTTATTCATTGGTTTATTTTGATTTCTTTTAGGGGAATATCATGACAGGGTCTCAAATTGCACAAGTGAACCAGCGTATATTGGAGTTGCTCACTGTAATTCGCCCCAATGCTGTTGCTTTGGTTGATGCCTTTGATTTCAAGGATGCCACGCTTGGCTCTGTTCTTGGCCGCTATGATGGGAATGTGTATGAAAACTTATTTGAGTGGGCCAAGAAGTCCCCACTGAACAAAACAGAGGTATAACGTTATTGTCATCTTTTGAAATTCTTTATTTACTTTTTTGTGCTTCTGGGGTGGGAACCCAGCACCTCACCATACTGGGCAAGTACTCTGCCACTGAGCCACACTGTCAGCCCACTGAAGTTCTTCATCTGAAGATGAGGCAGGACAGGGAAGGCAGTTCCTCTGGGGAAAGTTCTGAAAGCACTGTGGCCCCTTACAATGGTCACTTTATTGGTGCAACAGGTTCTTAAGGGTTAGCAGGGTTTTAATTGCCTTAAATATTTGTTAACTAACTGAACATTTTCAAACATGAAGTGAAGAAGCCAAAATGAGAGACATGCCAGAAAGAATCTGCAACATTCACAAGCAGCAGGTTTTTATTAGGGAGAGGAGACCTGAGAGGGACCCTTGGCCATCAGCATAACACTCTGAGAGGGGCAAGAGCATACCTTTCTTACAAGCTGGAGTTTTTAAGCCCCCTGTGGTGGGGAAAGAGAGGTTGAATGGGGGCAGGCATTAGATAAGATGGATGTGAAGGGGGAGTGGAGGGAGATGCTGGACATGGGGGAAGTACTGGACATTAGTGAGAAGGTCATTGGGGCTGGGCAGCCACCATGTGTGCTGTTTTTTTCTAACTCTTTTATCAGAGGTAGCCATATTTGCATTGTTCCAGTGTTTCTCAATATTCCAGCATTTCAGGCTCTTTATGTTTATATGTATATGTGTATATATATATATGTATATATATATACATATATATATATGCATATATACACACACACATACACACACATACATATATACATACATACATATAAGTGATAAAGGGTGTCACCAGTCTTCGGCTACTTCCTGCTGGCCAGGGACTATGTTGGGGGTTGTCGAGCCTGGAGAGTTTGTAGAAGCATGATGGCTTTAAATTGTTCCCCTGAGGTAGCCTGAGAAATGGCAGTAATATGCTCCTGTAAAAATATTTGGAGGATATTAATGAGACATGGTAAAAACATTAAAGTCAGACAAACAAGGATGAGAGGAACTGCCAACAGGATGAGCCATGGGTACAAGGAGGAGAGGATATTAGTGGGTTGTGAAGATGTTAGCTGTTGTACCCTATCTCTAAGTTTTTTTTACTCCGTCTCTAACTATGACAGATTTATTGGTAAAGAAACAGCAATCCTTCCCTAAGAAGAGGCATAGCTATCTAATCCCCTCCTGTTTTGTAAAACCACTGCTGCTAATGAATCTATCTGATCGTGGATTGCTGAAATCTGTAAGGCAATGTCATTGAGGCTTTCCTTTAGAGCTGTGGATAGTTTTTGGAACTGGCTGATTGACAGCCCTAATCTGGCAGATCCTGTCCTAATCCCAGTTAAGAGGCCTAGTCCCACCACTAGGAGGGGTGAGGCCGATACCTCTTTTTGTGTTAATAATATAGGAGGAAGGGGGAACCAGAAAAACAAGGGTACAAACTCCCATTCAGTTAGTAGGTAGACATCTATATGCTTGGGACCCGCACAGAAAGAAGATTCCTGCAGAGGGGGAGAGGCATCCCATTAATTCGAAAGGGAAGAGGAGTTTTGTTCTCTTTCATATGAGTAGAAGGAGGTGGAGGGGAGGCCATTAAAAGGGTTTGTAAAAGAGGGAACGAAGCACTAGTGGTCATGGGGGGATTCCATGATAAGTCGGTGCATTGGTGGATAAAGGAAAAGCCAGGAGTGGGGTGTAAATAACAATTTCCAGTCACTTTTGGAGAAGGGATTTGGGTAGAGTACTGGTATGTTAAAGACTAGAATAGCACTGGGGTATAGTCTCCAGTTACAAAAGTCTGACGTGGCTTGTAGTAAAATTGCCCTGCGGGGAGGGGATGAGAGTGTGTCAGAATGGATAAGTTGGAGGTCAAGAAGCAGGCCATTTGATGTGTTTATACCTGTTGTCCCTTTGATTAAAAAACTGGAATTGGCTGTTATGGGGGGGTGGAAGGAAGAGAGTCTGTGCTCATTGGGAACTATTAAGAGAGCCTATGGGTTTGGAATCCGGGAAGTGGGGTCATTGTATACATAAAGGTGCAGTCCCATAGAAGTCAGTTTGTGCTGTAGAACCTGTCACAAGAGGGGCTGTTTTTGAGGGGGTGGAATATTGTGATTTTTCTAGTAGAGGTGTTAATTGGAGTTTTAAATCAAATAGTGCCTGAGAAGCAGTTGCAGCATTATTGCTCTGTGAACAGCAGGCAAAGGGCATGAGGCCTAGGTGGGTGGAGCTCTGGTATAAAGTTCCTTTTGTGTTACTTCATTCCTCCAGAGTGGCAGGATGTGCAGTTCAGTCCTTTTCAGTGGATCTGATGCAGATCCAGCAAGAGGAGAGATTAGGATTGACAGATACACGTATTTGGGCAGAGGTGTTAATCAAGGAAGAGTACGCGGTTAAAAACAATGTGGCCGTCACTGCTAGCTGGAGAGATAGGGAGAGGACTATATGCATAAAGAGAGTAGAGGTATAGAAGGGAATCATTATAAGAGTGGTGAGAGTTGAATGTGAAGAAAATGCAAAAGAAGAAGAATATGAAGAAGAATATTTGGTCAGGCATGAAATCGATGAGATCCCCTTGTAGCCAAAGGTCCAAGAAGATCTCTGCAAGGTTTTCTTGTGGCAGGTGTAATTGTTAAGTTGGCTCTGAAGTATCTGGAGGAAGGTCTGGTACTGTTGGGAGGAGTTGATTCATCAGTCTCCTGGATGGGAGACAGACGGGTGATATGGATCTTGGTGGATCCAGTCCTGGAACAGGAGAGAGCAGGCGGGGACAGTGCATTGGGGGAAGATGAGGCTCATTTTATAGAAAACATATGTAACCAGGGTTTGTATCCATGTAATTTTAACAGCTGTAAGGGTTGTTACAATGACCCATAGGGAGCCCTTCCAAGGAGGTTGTAAGGGAAGAGGGGTTATTGGTTCCTTATAATAAATCCATTCCCTTATCTGTGCTGGGCCAAGGTTTGCAGGACAAAGAGAGGTGGGGATCTACAAAGGTCAAAAGTGTCATCCTCATGTAGGATAGTAAAGAAGAAAGCAGAGGAGGGGGAATGTTGTAGGAAGACCTGGTGTTAGAGGGTGGCCATATATGGTCTCAAAAGCGCTGATTAGCAGAGGCTTTCGAGGAAGGGCTCGGGTACAGAGGAGAGCTAAAGGTAATAGTTTGATCTAGTCCAGTCGAAGTTTCAGAGTAAGTTTGGTGAGTATGTTTTTTAGGGTGTGATTGGCTATTTCTACTTTTCCAGAGGATTGTGGATGGGATATGGAAGTGCCATTTTGACCCAATACATGAGTTCAGTTGTTGCATGATGGTAGAAGTAAATTCTGGCCCATTATTTGATTGTAGCAATGTGGGGAGACCAAAACAGGGAATGATCTCCTTGAAAAGTATGGTGGCCACTGTGGAGGCTCTCTTGTTAGTAGTGGGGAAGGCTTCGAGCCATCCTGTTAAGGTGTCAATAAAAACTAGGAGATACCTGATGTACTTAGTGGGCATATTTAGTAAAGTCCACTTGCCAATCTGACCCAGATAAGTGAACTCTTGCCTTATGGGTGGGAAAGGAGGAGGGCCAGATGTTTGATAAGGGGTTAGTTTTAGAGCATATATTGCCAGAGGATGAGATTTATTTTAGTGTTTTGTGGAAGTTAGGATTAGGAGCGATATGGGTTTTAATAAAATGAAGTAAAGACAGGGTTAGAGTGGAAGACTTGATGGAAGGCAGTTAGTATGGGTTTAATTTGTTATTCTGGTATAACAAGGGTATTATTAAGAAACCAGTATCCCTTGTGCTGGCTAGCCCCCTGAATTTTTAATAGTTCTGTCTCCTTTTGTGTGTAATTATAGTGAATTGGTAGAATGACCTGGGGGGGCATTTTTTGGGCTGCCTGCTTAGCTGTGGTGTCTGCCAAATTATGACTAATAGATATAAGGGTGTTATCTTTTTAGGTGGCCCTTACAGTGAAGGATGACAGCTTTGTGAGGGAGGGTGGCTGCTGGTAAAAGGGCCATAATATGTTTTACGTTGGGTTTTGGGGATCCCTTAGTTGTTAAGAAGCCCCGTTCTTTTCATATCTGGCTATTAGAATGGATGATACTGTATGCGTATTTTAAATCTGTATAAATGTTAATTGTCTTGTCTTTTGCCCTCTGTAATGTTCGTATAAGAGCATACAGTTCTGCCTTGGGAGGTAGTTGTAGGAGGAAGGCTATTTGTTTCTATTACCGTATGTGTATTACTACTTGGGTGTCCCTCAACTATCACATATCCTGCTGTAGGTGCCTAGGTAGTGGAGGCTTTGTAGAACGCTGTCTAGAAACCAGGTGGGGGCATCGGGTATGAGGGTGTCTAGGATGTGATGAAAGGTTATGACTCATCAAGTACCTGAATACAGTCATGAGCTGAGGGCTCTGGGTTAGGTGGAATGTTTGAGGGTAAGAGGGAAGCAGGGTTTAGTCGCTGACAACCAAAAAGTTAGATCAAAAGAGAAAGGAGTGTTAGACCAAAAGAGAAAGGAGTGTAAGATCTGAACATGAGATGGGGAGATGGCATTAACAGCTTTGTGGCTAATTAAGTCCTAAATATTGTGAGATGATCAGACTGTCACAGGTAAGTTAAAGGTTATTTTTTGAGTTCTGGTATTAAGAGAGCTGCTGTGGCCAATGCTTTTGGCAGGCAGGCTAGCCCCTGTAAATGGGGTCTCGTTGTTTGGAGAGGTAGGCTATAGGAGCCATTGAGTCACTTGCATTTTGGGCCACCAGGCCCAAGGCTTGGCCTTTGAGTGTAGGTATAGATGAATAATTTTGTTAGGGTTTGGAATGGAAAGTGCAGGTGCCCTTGATAAGGCTTGCTTGAGGAGGCTAAAAGGGGTTAGAAGGGCCCTGGGACAGGGTAAAGGCTCATCTGGGCCCCCTCTAGCAGCCTCATATAGTGGTTTGGCTATTATTGAATAGTTAGAAATCCAGATTCTAAACTACCCAGTTAATCCTAGAAAGA